AGTAAAAGATGAGTAGCTACTGGTAAGTAATCTCTAGCTTTACCTTCATATCTGCAGCTCCCTCAACTGTACAGAGTAGATTGAAAATGACAAAGTGATGCTGTATATTAAGTCCCCTACATTATTTGATCACTCCCTCTTATTTCCCGCTATTAAGTGTCAGTCACTAAAGGTATTAGTAATGATTTAACTTAATTTGTATGGCCACAATTGGAAAACAGACTGGTCTTCCACAAAGGTTTTCAGACCTACAAAAAGAAAGAAGAAGTGAAGGGAAAATAACAATAATTTTACGCATGATTCTTCTTGGAAAAGTGAGTATATAACAGCAGCATATTCTTACTCAACAGAATTGCTCCTGGTGTATGTATTGGTTCATTTTAGAGACAAAAAGGTTTTTACTATTTCATAAACTTGTTAGCTCCACAGTGCAAACCAGATAAGAGGTAGTGAGCTAGGCTCTGCTCTTTCATGTGTCACCAGTAGAACTGTTTACTAATTTCCAATTACAGGTCTAATCAGTGACACCTGGGCAACCACAGTGAAGACTGTGTAGCTGGAATGGGCGAGTGAACAAACAACAAAAAACAGCTGACGTAGACTATTGTTGATATCTGGAAGATGTCTCCCTTGTGCAACTGAGATGCAGGTTTCTACATATAGCCTATCTTCCAGAGATACTTCTGTGTATGCAATAAAAGCTAACGGTGGGTACACAACATACTTTAATACAATGACTGCACAGAAATCCAAACTATTACTACTGATTTTCACATTTTAGTAAGTGTATGTAACTTTCTGTGGATGACTAATGTCAGTGTCCCAGTTTCTTTGGTATTTCAATTAAGCAGTATCTGGCTTTTGCTGTAAGTAAACTGCACAAAGAGAGCACTAATACATAACAAGGATAAGATAAAGCATCATTTAAAAGCATATTCTAGTAAACTTTTGAAAGCATCAGAACATTTGCATCTAAGATGTCCAGCCTTGATGACTAGCGAGGTGTAAACTCTCAAAGGGAGACAGAGAAATAAACTTAATGATATTCCACAAGCAAGCATTTGACCTAACTTCTGCAGCTAAACAGCAATGATGTGTAGAACTGCACAAAACTCCCAGTAGCTGTGCTATCGTAACATTGGCAAAATGAGTCTTGAGAGCTTTTGTTGCTGTAACATGAGTCTCTTCACAGGAGGTGTCAGTTTACACAGCCTTAGGACAGAAACAGATTTCACTTTGGACTATGCCCCATATCCAAGAGAGAGAGTGTGATTTACCAAGGTCTGATTTTCTTGGGACATAAAAACTGAGTACCCACTTCAACTCCAACTTGTGTAAAAGGCCACCCTGGGAGGGTCATGATTTAATAAATGGTAAGACTCCTCTTCTATCATGGTGACAAACCTGAGGGTCTGTCCTACTAGACTGATGGAGCATATCATATTCCAGTTGGCTTTGAAGAATGCTATTTTGCTGACAGACCACACTAGCCACTACTAAAATTTTATAATAACCATATGTCCTTGACTTTTGATATTGTGGATCCTAAATGACCATTTGTTGGATCCGTAGCCATAGGCCGCTATGATTTATTAATGATCTGCAACAAATGAAATGAGTGAGAAGATGGCTAGAATACCAATGTTGGAAATCCCATGATGAGCCTGACTGATCGTGACAAAGCATTTTTGAAGTCTTTGTCACTGCTGTACAGGAGGCAAAGAAGATTGTCTTTGTCTCTACCCCCATAGCGTCTGCAGACTCTCAGATAACAGATCTTTTTGAGTGGTGATTAGCCTGCACAATATTCACTATCAGAGCTGAATATTTTTCACTGAAAAATTTTCATTATACTTTGTAAATAAAATTAGTCAGATCACAACTGAGCTGCCTGCCTCTATGGAGATGAGGCAGGTTTTTTTGAGATTACAAATAGTGTTTCCCCTGCAGTTTCAGTCAGGGTTGCTCACCTTGATTCTGGGAGGTGCTCCAGATTACAACCTGTAATTTGGACCCTCACCCATCTTGGTGGCAAAGGAAGGCAAGTAGGAAAGTACTGGGCTCAGTACTGGCTAAGATTGTTCCCTATGGGATGAGGAAACATGGAAGAGGCAGTAGGGTGTGACTTATTTTTAACGTAGTTCTTGTAAGACAGGGAATTCAGAAAACCAATTATTGACAGGGACAGTCTTGACAGCTATTCATCTGGATCTAATCTCCCTTTTTGGTGGGAAACTATGATCCTTTTTCAATCAGGTTTCCTTGACTTCAAGTCACACAAGTTTCAGGCCTGGGTACAAGACTGAACATGGCCTGGCTGATGATCTGCTAACAATGGATAAAGATGAAGTATTCATGACAATTCTTTTGTTTGTCAGCAGTTTTTGATACCTCTGATCATCAGATATGGGCTCATCTGTGGTCCCCAACAGGACAAGCAGAACTGTTATTGTCTTTGTGAGATATCCCAATGGATAGTTTTGGACAACTGGTCTTGTGCTCTAAGGCAGGAGTGGACAAACTTTTTGGCCCGAGGGCCACATCTACATATGGAAATTGTATGGCGGGCCATGAATGCTCACAAAATTGGGGGTTGGGGTGTGTGAGGGGGTGAGGGCTTCGGCTGGGGGTGCAGGTTCTGGGGTGGGGTTGGGGATGAGAGGTTGGGGGTGCAGGAGGGTGCTCCAGGGGCGGGAGGGGGATCAGGGCTGGGGCAGGGGGGTTGGGGCACAGGAGGGGGTCAGGGGTGCAGGCTCCAGGCAGCGTTTACCTCAAGCCAGCTCCCAGAAGCAGCAACAAGTTCCCTCCTCTGGCTCCTATGTGGAGGCTCAGCCAGGCAGCTCTGCATGCTGCCCCGTCCACAGGCGCTGCTCCTGCAGCTCCCATTGGCCGCAGTTGCCAGCCAATGGGAGCTGCAGAAGCAGTGTGTGGAGCCCCCTGGCTGCCCCTACGCGTAGGAGCCAGAAGAGGGACATGCTGCTGCTTTTGCGAGCCGCGCAGAGCCCCGGCATGCACGGAGTGGGGCAAGCCCCCAACCCCGCTCCCTAGCTGGAGCTTGAGGGCCTGATTAAAGCATCTGAAGGGCCAGATGCAGCCCCAGGCCGTAGTTTGCCCATCCCTGTTCTAAGGGCTCTGTCATGCAGGATACCTCAGAAATATATTTTGTCACCCTCCCCATCAACACGTATGCAAGTTAGTTGAGAGGGACAGTGAAGGGACATGGGCAGTGGTGTGTCTGAACGATGGCAACATCCAACTCACTGTTCTCCATGCTTGACCTGGCTTGTGCAATGAAGCAAATAACCCAGTCTCTTCAGATATACAATGTTGGTGGGAAGGGAGAAGCAACTAGAAGAAGTGTTGGGGATAGTATTGGGACCCCGGATTTTGGGAGTGTGTCAGACAAGTTCACAGTTTGGGGTTGCTCCTGGATGCCAGATGGCAGGCAGGATGTGCCCAACATAGTTATGTCCTCTGTGCTGGGTGATCTTTCTGATGCAGACCTTGCTGCAGTTGTGTGCGCCTTTGTCATCTTGAGATTAGGCTATTGTAACGTATTGTACATTTGGCTACACCTAGCAACTTTTCAAACTGTTTCACCAGTGCTCCATGTTCTGTACTGGTTGTATATGGAATTTAAATGTTGACAGTGAAAGCCTTAAATAGTTTTGGACCTTGCAACTTAAGAGACTGGTTATCTCTACCATGTGATACTGCAGCAATTGTATCCGTGTAGGGACTCAAATTGGAGTCCTCTGGTTTAAAAGGGAAAAAGCTGCATACAAGACATGTTTGTAAAGGTTCCTCACAGACTTCAGTATGTCTAATCTTACTCCACAGTTCTATAGGGGATGCCACCTTTCTAAATGCTGGTAACCAGACCCCCGAGGCTCTGCCCTGTGCCCCACCTCTTCTCCCAAAGGCCCCACCCCCGCTCTTCTTCTTCCCCTCAGGGCCCCCCCCCCGCTCCACTATGAAAATGCACATATTTTCTGGATAAAAAAAATCAGAACACAAAATACTAAGACAAATCTGCACTGTTAGAAGGAAATACAGTGCGACCACCATTTAAGAAGTTTTAATATGTTGGGTGTGCGTTTCTGTGTGTGTATAAATAAACCATTCCTGATATATGTAAGGCCCTCATCCAGAAGAGCACCTAAGCACATGCTTAGCGCCACGCCAGTGGAACTACTCAAAGTTACTGGATCAGGACCTAAATATGAAATACCCAGAAAAAGAGTGAGGGGTGCCACACTGAAGAAATATAAAAGGTTTTACTTGGCTCCTGATTCTTTGAGTTTTAAAAGGCTTGGAGACTTTTCTTCTTGCTACTGCTAAAATACAACTCAGTTTTCCCCATAGAAAAGTATTTGAGTAAAAACAAACAAACAAAAAAACAACAAAACCCCTTGCACATATGGTTTGCTAATATTGTGAAAACAATTTTCTCTCAGTTTCAACCACATTGCAAAGTTTTCTGTACAGCTCTGATGGGTAGTGGACCATAACCTTACTCCTTTTCAAGTATCTCTGAAAACCTACTGTGATGTTTTGATTGTTCAACTTTGTTATTGTCAATGATCTTGTCGTAAGAAAGTCAACTGTTGTCTAATGCAGTTTTGCAATCTTCTAAATTCTATCAGAAAATAATATGTTTGTTGTTTTGCTATAGACTTAGACATGCATGCATTTTTTAAAGACATAACTCTGGCAATTCTTCTAACTTATTTTCACAAAAGCTCTCTTTCCTTCAGCTGAGATTTCAAGACAATGCAGGACCACAAAATGCTATTTTGGGAGAAAATATCCTTAATTCAACTTCAGTAAAAATGGTAATTGTGATTAGATGTGATAGGAGTCCCTACCACAGTAGCTCTGCTGAAGAATATGCTCGCTGATGTATTTGTTTAAATAACAAAAGCAGAAAATAAGGAGATACTGCAGATGTGCTATGGCTAAAACGATGACCTGATGACCCCTTCCCCCCTCCATCTTACCAAGATCCATGCTTTTGGAGGCTTTCAGATTAATTGATTCAGGCTGCTTGGCTGGTGTCAAAGATCTGAAGTTGATGTTCTGATCTGTTAAATATGCTGCTGAATCCACTACAGAGCTATGGAAAAAGCCATGCAAAACATTTAGGCACTAATGCAAAACCAAGTGAAGTAATTAAAACTTTCACAATATAAATGTATTTTCCCCTCCAGTTGTTTGCAATCATGCATCTAAAATCAATCTCTGATTGTCACGTTTCTTTTGTGAGATTTCGCACCTCCACTCACATGTATTTAATTATATATATTTAAATACAGATTCTTTGTGAAGATAACTGCTGTTTTTACACGCTTAATATTTAAATATGATTTTATTTAACAGAACAGAAGGGGAAATATCCAGTGCCAACAGTCTTGTTTTCTCTTCTGCTGAGCTCTATTTAACTACCTCCTGTCTGAATTGTTTACCAAATAGGTTGCACAAAATGCAGCCCCTGCACCTGGTTCACTCTCCCTGACATGTCAACAATCTATGTGAATGATGGCATTTAAAAAGACCACCACTACCCATCACCGTTTCACAGAAGCTCCCCATAAATAAACCTGCATGGAGGAGCAAAGTTCTGTTTCACAAAGGACTGAGATTTGAAATTTGGTTCAGTTTAGAATTGGAATGAAACCTGAAAATTTCAAAATTCTCTATGAAGGGAAAATCTCTCTCCCCATGCCCCCCACCCCCAAAGTAATTTTGGCTCAATGAAAACTTTTTGTTTTCATTTTGGTTTTTGATTTTATATTAAAACATATCATTCAAAATTTAAGATTATTTTAAACAAAAGTCATTTCAAAATGAAAGATTGGAAAATTTCATTCAAAAAGTGTTAAAAAAGGATGTTTCAAGAATTTGATTTCCCCTCCGGCCCATTTTTTCCCCAAAGGGAATTTCAGCAAGACAGACACAGTTTTGCAAAGCATTTCAATTCAGTTACAACTGCATTTTCTGACAGAAAATGGTTCCAAGTTTTTCTGACCAGCTCTACTCATAGCCTCAATCATTATGTCAGATAAGCATATCTCAAGTATTTAAAAAGAGAATGGCAAACCGCGGCCACTGGGAGCTGCGGGCAGCCATGCCTGTGGACAGTCACTGTAAAGAAACGGTCTCACGGCCTGCCAGCATATTACCCTGACGGTCCAAGTGCGGCCCGCAGGATGTCTACCACTGGTTTAAGGTTATAGAAAAAATTGTATGATATACCATTTTCTTAGAAAACTAGTACATGATTATGAAAATAATTTATTTTTTAAAAATCTGTGTACCAATGAGGACAGCTCACATATCACCAGTGACAAATGTGCCATCATTTGAAAACTACTGAAATAGACAAGATATTAAATTGCAAAAATAACCAACCATGATTTATATTGCAGAAATGTCAACTTGACCATAGCTATTGTGGTGCAGATTCCACTTCTATTTACATACACAACAACAGTGCTTTTAATCAATGAGAAAATAACATCACAATGATCAGTGAGAACTGAGCCATTCTAGCCATAAATAACAAAAATAACTGCAATAAAAAGTACATCCGAACCTATGATTATAATCTTCAGAAAGCAGCTCCTCACTGGGGTGTGGGGGCAGAGGAGGTGGAACTTCAGTCTCAGCACGACCACGATCAGACATAGTCAGCTCTGAACCTAAAAAGGGTTAAACAAAGTAGTAGCAGCGATTACATGACACCAGTTCACTGATCCATACCTGGACAGGGAGGCCTGACGTGATCCACAAATTATACAAATACCTAAACTAAACAAGAATTAAAATCATAACAAGCAGAAAGTACATGCCTTGGGAATTCCAAAAGAGTTGATTTGCTGTTTTAAAGATGCATAATTAGTGAAACTCTGCTGATAGTGAAGTGCAGTGCAAGTCCTGAATGCATTTGAATGGATATTGACTTCCCTCATATAGTTTTAACGTAACTAATAGTAAGTTCAACTGGTTTAATTTTTTTGGTTTGCAACATTTATTACCTCCCAGATAGGGAGTAAGGCACCTTAACCTGCAGACATCGCCTCCTTTCCCATTCTTAATAGGAGAAAAGAAAAGTTGCTGCTGTCCCATGACAGGAGGGATAACCAAGAAGCCCTGGATCACAGTCTAAATTCCTCCTATCATGCCATTCAAGGCAATCAATTTACACCAGGATGAGTTTGGCCCCGAAACATGTGTCAAAGTAGTCATCATGCTTGAATGAACCATTATTACAACAAATACATATTTAATAGAATTGTTGTGGATGTTAGAGTACATGATAATTGAGGCTGAGTCAATGTCTCCTTCATTTAGGAAGAAGTACTGCACAGTATACTCAACAGCAGCAAAGAGTGGAAGCCAGAGTGGTACCTTCAGAGTCTAAGGTCAAATCGCAGTTTTTCTTCTCCCCTTTCTACTCTTCAGTGGGACATCACCTCTCTCAAACATACTGCCTTCTCCCAGTTGCTAGCAACTTCATTTCATTGTGTCAATGGAAATGGTACACCTCCACTTCACCCCTGCCATCTCAACATTCACAAGTTTTGTTCTGGTTCTTTTCCTCTTTTCTATCACCACTTCCTCTCCATCTCACACACTCTTTGCTACTAACAAATATCCTCTTCTCATCTTCACCTCAGTGTCTTTATCTCTTCCTTCCATTCTTCACACTCTTCCTCCTATACGTTCTCCCTCACTCATCAAGCTCTAACCCTGCCAGCCAAAAACTCTCTCCATCTAAGTCCCCATCTTCTCTCCTTCTACTTCCTTCTAGTCTCACCTCCATGTTTCATGCTTGCCGAGATCTGTGACTATCCCCCAGGCCCTTGCACCTCCTCACATACACTGAAACCTAGCTTTCTCCCTGCAGCTCACCATGTATTGCTGCATCTCCTCCTATTGCAGCCCCGATCTCATGACTGCAGTATGCTCCAACCTTTCACCCTCCACCTCTCATTTCCATCCCTTCAACTTTCTACCCCTTTGCCTCTTCTGAGGTCCTTTTCATCTCCCTCAGAGAGGCTCACTTTCTTCATCTGATATCAGCCTCCAACTACTCTCAGCTCTTCACTCTATATTCATACCATGTTTCTTCAGTTTCTGCACTGCCAGCACCTCTAATTCTACTGTTTCTGGATTATCTCATTAACTTCCTCATTCTTTCCAAGCTTCAATTTGACCCAATATGACAGAGGAGGAAGATGCTCATAATATTTTATTAATACTGCATGTATATCTATGTGTTTGATTGTTATTGTGTTTTTTGCTATGTGGGTTAATTTGCATCTAGATAGAAAAGTGGGCAAACTTCTGATAATGACCTGTTTACTGATAATTATAGGACAACGAATTGCTTGGAAGTCTATCCCTGACCCACCCAAGTGCGCTGCATAAACTAGTTTGACCAGCTTCAAGAGATACAGGCAACACAGACGAGGGGACTGATAAAATGTCTGCTCCTGAAGATGGAGGGAGAGACACAGGGATTGCTGGGGTGCTGACCAATTCTGCCCTTCTTCCCTGAGCTCCCCAAGGCTGGGGTCTTTGGCATAAGCCAGGCCTGTCTAGCTTTCAGGTTAGACAGATCAGATACATGTGCAGACTGTTTGCTGTGTTACAACCTCTCTGCTCTTTGTTCCTTGAGATTAAACAATACTTTGTTTGGAAAGGCTGTTCTATGCCAATTCACACTCCAGTCAACTACCAAAGGCAAGTCTTGCAGGTAGCCAAATTCAGTTCGATCTGTTGAGTAATCATGGTTGGTATACATGGTGCTACACCCTGGGGACCTGGTCTAAGAGTGGGATAATTCAGAGGGTTCCAACACAAAATAGTTGAAGGCAAGAGGACGGTCACCTGAAGGGGTGCACTCAGAGATTTGAGAGGGCTGAAAGGTGCAGCTTGTCCTGAACCATGAAACCCAACTCATAACTTCAGTCGCCATCCTAACTTGTCAAAAAAACACTGTTCTTCCCTCTCTCCTAAAGTCCCTGTCTACGACCATGAAGATGGACAAGCTCCTCTTCACCATCATTTCTTCCTTGTGCTCTGTACTTTCCTATCACTTACTCCCTTTGTGATCACCAGTCTATGAACATCTCTGACTTTTCTTTCTCCTGGCCTTCACCTTTTCTCCTTGTCATCACTAACTGCCATCAGCATCATGATTGCCACTTTCAACTCTGTCCCTCCCCCCGTAATTCCTCATTCCCTCTCACGCCATTCTGAATGCTCCCATAAACCCCATCCGTGACCTTCCCATTCTGTGCTCCCTCCATTCCGGTCTCACACGACTGAGCATCTCTGGAGAAAAACTAGTGACTATACTGACTTCTTCTACTGCATGTTCTCACTCCCTCATCCTTCCAACCTGTCCTTTTTCCTTCCTAGCTAATCCACAACTTTGGTTCCCTCCCTAAAGGCCCTGATCCTGTGAGTTACCAAGTGCATTTTGCAATATAGTGAGTGCCCTTCAATTCCCACTGACTTTACTCCACTGAAATTCAATGGGAATGGTGCGTACTCAGTACATCTAAGGGTTGGTGTGGCTGATGCTGAGCTGCCATGTAATAATCTATTAATACTGATATAATATTCATAAAATTATGATACATTTGAACTGGTCAATGAGGTGAAGTTACAGTATATTGGGCTATTAGACTTTCCTGAATTAATGTATTCATCTATAGTCATTTTCTATATCAATTAATCTTTTCATGAGCACATGCTACACTTCTAAATGTCGATACTTGTACATCCATGGAGATTCAGCATGCCACGCTATTGTAGAGTAGATACTTTATCTTTACAATATTTCCTAACCAGAGAGATGACAGCAATTCCCTTACAGCCCTGATCATTTTTTGGATGTAAAAGAGCTTCTGATGAGGCAGATTCCAGTAATCTTTCAGCACCAGAAATGTGAAGTTGCTGGCACTGAAGTATTGCTTCTCGAAGAGGTTGTTCTAAAACTGCTATTTCTGCACAACAGCTTGGCAAGAAAAAAAAGCAGGAACCTGTGGGTGGCAAGCATTATTCATGCAAAAAATAGACTGAACATTGGCATTTCAATATTGGCTTAAAAACCCTCCTTTATTGAAATATCCACAGGCAAGACAAAATGTAATGTTTTGGCTATAACAGCTTTTCCCCAGACATTACATTTGGTCTTGCTCATGTATAATAAAAAAGATCCTTTTTAAAAAAATATAGTATTAATAAGCCAATTATTTTTTTCAATCTATTTTTGTTGGGCTTCTAGAACAGTCTTATGTGTAGAGCAGTGACTAGCATTAGGAGTAACTTATTGGAAAACACTGAGAGTATGACATTTTATTAAACATAATTCAACTTCTGCCACTAATTTTTTGTATTGGGCACAGTATTGTACTGACATCTCTGCTGTCTTTTATTACTGTTTACATTATGGTAGCACCCAAAGCTTCAGATCAGGACTGGAACCCCAATGGGCAAGGCACCATGAAAACATATATCAAGAGACAATCCCTGTATCTGATATAAGACTGTAATCCTGCAACTTGTTCATTGTGGGAAGACACATAAGCACTTTTGGGTTCACTGGGGCCCTGTGCGGGTGCATGGTTTCACGTGTGCAGATACCATTGTAGGATCGGAGCCTATTATAAAAGAAAATGCAAAAAGTGTAACAAATGATATGGGGGTGGGGGTGGAGAAAAGAGTAACGCTGATAGGAATGTGGGTTAAAATAGGTTAAATGTTCAGAACTAAACAAATATTTTTACAGCAAAATACATGCTACATGTATGTGCACTGTATTATTTTAGAGACATATTCTTTGCTCACATGTACCTGAACGATTTCAGCTTTGCTATACAGAGCCCTCTACTAGGTCTTTTGCTGGGCAAATACATGTCTCATTCTTCCGCCTGCCCCACACAGCTAGCATTCTATTTGATTTCACTAAATAAGTTTTTTTAAACATAAGTCACAATACAAAGATACTTCACTTAGTTTCTCAGTAAAATTTAAAAATCTCTTTCCTTAGCCCTTTGACTGACACCACCCATATCTTCCCAGGCCTTGGTTTTTGTCTCTCTCTTTTTTCCCTCATAAAGGGGTCTCTCTCTCTCTCTCTGCCCTATGTCTGTGGTGTCTTCTCAACATCTAACATCCATTCACCCCTCACACTGCGGTGGGTTGTCTCCTTCCTTTTGCCCCTCAAAAATGTAAAACAAAGAACGAGCAAAACAAAAAGACATACACTAGCAGCCTCTGCTGCTAGGATCCCTCAGAAAGTATAGCTCTTCCAAACAGGCCCTTATTCTGATTCTTATCTAAGTACTTTAAAAAGTGCCTGATTAGGAACATGGGCAGTCCCACTGAATGGGTGACAACACTTAATGAGACTTCTCAAATGCTTAAAATTAGGCATATGCTTAAATACCTGGTGGAATCAGGGCCATACATAGCAGCCAGTGGGATTTTTCTGCTGGTAAGGGGAGGAGGTAGGAAGATAAAGTGTCAGTGTTAAAGCTGGGTGTTTAGTCAGCTATTTACAGACTAAGAATATTATAGTTACTAAAAAAGTTTCAAAGTCTGGAATGGGGAATGTAAATATGATGTCCTAATTCTATTTACACTAAGGGTCTGTTTCTAACTTTAAAACATTTCAAGTCTCAGTAAACTAAAATAGCAAATCTTATGAATATTAGGGTATAGTGTAAATTCCTACTGGATTATAAAACAGGACACAAACTAGACAATTTGCTTTTTAAAATAATTACTGTACCCATCAAGGATGTATAGAAAATAAACATTTTGACAATATATATTTTGCAACCATCATTTGTTTTTTATCCAAACTTACGTGTTGGGCAGTGAGCTAGAAATTGTTACTTAAACTGGAACGTGTGCCAGGAATTTAATTCACAACTTCTGAGTCAGCTCTCCCACCCTCCCTGGATCTTCAAGCTTCAAAGTAACAGAGCCTGCACTTACTCTAATTAACTGTTTTTCTAGTTGATGTGGATTTCTGAAAACAAAAAGAGCACTTTTTTGGGGGTGGGGGGCGCATGAAGAAGGATGTACAGTACATACCTTTTAGTCTTTCCTGAGGACTGTAAGTTACAAATTGCTGCAGGATAGCATCATTGCGCCTGGAGATAGTGGTAAAGGTCTGACTGCCCTCAAGTGCTGATTTTTGAAAAAACCCTTGATCTGAGCATTCCTAAGAAGAAACAGAATCATGTTTTAATTGAAAAAATAAATGTCCAACAAAGCCAAGGAACAGTAATCGCTAAATCACACTGGGGTTTGTGCATTATTTGTCAGGCTTTTATTGCACATTATTAACTCTGCAATGAGAAACATGAAAGATGTCCTCAGACCACTGCTGACCATGAAACAAGAGAGTACCCTTACATTAGAAATGATCATTAAGGATGATAAACAGAGAAAAGGACTTCTTTTTTCTGACCCACAACTGGCTTCATGTTATTCCTCCATCTGTGAGGGCAGCTTGTGGCATTGTCAACATAAGGGCACAGGCAATGCCAGTGATATTTCTTTGCCAGCCAGCTGGTTCCCTTCGCTCAGAGACTGAGTGCGTATGCTCTGATGATCATACACTAAAGCAGACTTGTAACCTCTAAACCCAGGTCTTCTGGCTGGCAGCTGAACAAACTTTTGCCACACCTCTAGTCTGTTTTTCTTTTGAGATATTTTCCCCTCCCCCCATATCCATATTGCAGCTCCTAATTTATTCTCCTGACAGTTGCTGTTAAAAAATGCACAATTTATCAAACTGAGACAAACCCCAAAAGGCACGTCTGTCGTCGTTGTACAGGGGAAATTATTAATATAGACAGTAAAATGCTTTGGCTAATTATTAAAAGGTAGAATGATATTCTTAACATTGTAGTTTCTTTGAAAAGCCAATACATAACAAGAAAGAAGCCTCCACTTGGCCTCCATTTTACAAAGCTGCCTTCACCAGGGCCAGTGGATTTCATATTACAGGTATAGCACTTATAAATTTTTGGACATGTATGTTAGAATCTTTTAGTGTCACTGTAAGTTTTTGTAAGAAGTGGATGGAATGCCAAGGCTATATTTCCCTATACCCTGTCCCTTTAAGGCAAGGAACTGTGCTGAAAAGGTCAAAGGGAGTAGGGTGTGGTGACAGAAGAGTCTAGCACTCCTGGAAGACTATTGCAGTGGACTTTTGCAAGCTCTGTGTTTGCCTGATTCTGATTACAGTTTTAATAAAATGTTTCCGTTTTAAACAGCATGTCTAGTCCTGAGTGTGTAACACAGGCACCAACACTTATGCATCCCTTTTTAGGTACTATCACTTGTGCACACAGATGATGTGTTTATAACTTTTATCTTCCATGCGCACAACTGATAGTACTGAAAATTGCATGCATGTGAGCATGCCTGCAAAGTTATGCTCAAAGCAATAGAGACTATTGCCTTTGAAACGTTTCATCATCATCATGGGTGAGGCCTTTGAAACGTTTCATCATCATCATCATCATCATCATGTTCCTATTACACCTCTGGTGTTTAGGGCAGTGATGAAGCTCTTCCACTCCTGTCTGTTGTTTTTGGGTGGCCTCGTTTTTGCTTGCCTTCAGGTGTCCATCTTATTGCTACTGTGGTGACGGAATCAGTTTCCACCCGAAGCACATGACCGATCCATTTCCAACGCCTCCTGGCAATGATGGTGCTCAGATCCTCTTCGCTGCACTGCGCCAATAGATCTTGGTTTGAGATTGTTCTGGACCAAAAGATATGGAGGATTTTTCTGAGACAGGTTGTATGGAATGAAGACAGTTTGGACATGTCAGACTTCCTCATTCCCCAGCATTCTGCACTATAAAGCAGTGTTGAAAGTACACAGCTCTGATAAATCTTGAGTTTGGTTTTGGTGTTGTATTTTGATGATTTCCAGACTGTATTTAAGCTGCTGAAGATGTTCCTGACTTTATTGATTTTGTTCCAGATGTCCTGGCTTGTTCCATCTTCCTGGCTGATGGTGCTGCCCAAGTATGTGAATGTTTCGACGTTGGTGAGAACATAATCCTCTATCCATACTGGTGATGGTGAGGCAACATTAAAGGTCATGATATCTGTCTTATCGCAGTTGATTTTCAGTCCAATTTGCTGGCTGAAAGTATTGAGTTGGGTTGTTTTTTTCTTGTATATGGTGTTGGGTATGTGATAGGAGAGCAACATCATCTGTGAAGTCCAGGTCTTCAAGGGATGAGAAGAGTGTCCATTTAATGCCTCTTGGCATATCTTCTGTTGTATGCCGCATTACCCAGTTGATAGGTAATGTTGAAGAGGATTGCAGACATGACACACCCCTGACATACTCCTGTTTTGACTTCAAAACTGAGCTCACCGTGATTAACACTGCATGTAAAGTTGAAACAGAAGCTTTTGATAACATTCATTATACAGAAAGGAATTCCATATGCCTGCAGAATGTGCCATAGGCTGGTCCTGTGAATGCTATCAAAAGCCTTCACAAAGTCTATGAAATTTATGTAGAGTTGCCGTTCTAAGCACTGTTCTATTATGTTTCATATATTGAAGATCTGGTCTGTGCATCCACGCCCTTTCCGAAAACCAGCTTGCCCTTTTCTCAGAATGCAATCAATTGCCTCTGATATATGATGGACTAAGATCTTACACAATACTTTGCTTGGCACAGATAATACTAGTGTGATACTACACCAGTTATTACAATTACTGAGAGTTTCTTTCTTTGGTATCTTCACTATAACCCCATTCATCTGGGGCTTTTTCCCTTTCCCAGACTGATGTAAAGAGAGGGGTCAGGATAGATGTCGCTAATTTAGGATTTACCTTGAACAATTCTGCATTCAAGTTATCCTTGCCAGGAGATTTCCCATTTTTTAAGGATTTGATAGCTTGAATGATTTCTTCTTTAGTTGGGGTGTCTCTGTTGATCTCAAGATCTTCTTCTGCCTCCTGGATGTTTGCTTCCTCTTTAGGTGGCTCCCTGTTCAACAATTATTTGAAGTGCTCTGTCCAGCGCATTTCTTGTTCTTTTTCGGTTGTTAGTAAGTGTCCTTGTTTGTTCCTGATGAGAGTGTTTGTTGGTGTCTGCCTTTTACCACTGATAAGCCGCATCGTTTTGTAGACAGTTCCTTGTTCACCACAAGCAGCTGCATCCTCTGCTTGAGTTGCCAGATTATCAATATAATGCCATTTGTCCGCTCTCACAAGGTATTTGACCTCCCGGTGTGCCTTGCATTATGCTTGTGGTATTTGTCCTTTAGTTTCTGGGATTTTGTGTCTAAAACTTTCTTCTTCAGGACTGGTCTGGTTTCTATGGCATTCCATGTGCTGGGTGTAATCCACTCCCTTCCTTCTCTTCTGCCTGTGGCCTAGACAGGCTTTACTGCTCTGTTTATAAATTGCTGTTCCTTTGTCTGACTCCTTGTTGATCTCGTCATCTGCATTCCCCTCCTCTTCATCAAGGTCTGCAAGCGCTTGAAACCTGTTCTTTAACTGCAGAATGAAGGTGTTCTGTATTTCAAGGGACCTTAGCTTGTCAATATCATAATGTCTATGTCCCTTGTTTGGTGGACCCACACCTCTCAGTTTTAGCTTGATTGAGGCTGTCACAAGGTTGTGGTCGCTGCCAACATCTGCATCCCTTCTCACTTTCACATCTGTAAGTGAGCTTCGCCATTTGCCATTGATCATTATATGGTTCTTCTTTTGCCTTATAAGACTAGTGATTTCCCAGAGAAAGACAGGCTGGCCATAAGGCCAGATTAACTAAGACCACTTCATCAATGGTGAGAGCCTACTGGTGACAACACAGAGACAGCTACAGACCTAGTCTCATAAGCTTCTTCTTTTCTTTCAGTAGCCACTGGCCAAATAACATGTTGACTGTTTTCCCTTCCTCCTCATTTCAATGCTCTATTCACAGCCAGTTAAATAGTACATTCAGAGGCTCTTTATTATGGGGAAGACCCATTGTTAACAATTATATGTGCCTCTGGTGTACCAGAATTCTTCAAGTTACATTGGGAAGATTTACCACTTATTCCTTATGCCAAGTGATCCACATCTATTACCTTTTGGAAGTATATTGTCGGCTAAATCAAGCCCTGCACTGATACAAACTACTACTACTAAATTAAAGATGGGGACCCACTGGGAGAGGCAGCCTTAAATTAACAACAACAACCAAAAAAAATCTGCTTTTCCAGCTCTTTGATAAATGACACAATCAATATCCCAACAACTGATCAGTAACCAGCTTAATTAGAGTATTCAGCTTGTAAAACAGAGCTGTCATGGAAGGCCTCCATTAGTGTCCTGGCCAATAAAACAAATAATGGATTTTAAAACATATTCTGCTTATACCAAGCTGGAACGTAGCAGGTAGGAAACGGTTTTGGGGAAGGGAAAGAATAGGTCATGGCCCATTTTCCTATAGTCTCCAGCCTCAAATGGAATTACAATTGAACCTCGAGCACATTCTATAAAAATTAATTTCTGTTTAAAATGAATTTGATTCAATCAAGAGCTCATTATGTATTCTTCACAGGGCATGTGTCAGAATTGTTTGTGTGTTTCATACATCTGGATAATGTATAAAACTATATACTTTGACGATGAAAAGCAGCTTCTTGTATTTTTATTACATCAATAATTCAGTTGTAGTATTTTTGCCAAAGTTGACTTTTTAAAAATAGAAGCTAGCAATGATAAGCTTTCTTTCTAGTTTTCGCTGTAGGTGGGTTATCATTCATACCTCATCAGAGCACAGAATAAATATAAATGCGTAATACTAGTTTTACATAAGGTACAGACCATGAAAGATAACAGCAGTTGAATCAATTTGCTTTCTTAAATTTAAGAATAATAACCCTAGAACATGCTTTCAACCTGTCTAGAGTGGTATCACCATTGATTGTCTAATTGTGGTAATAAGACTATAAAGGGTCTGTCTCCTACAGGAAAAGATTTGAAAATGTTAGCCAATAATCTTAGAAAATGCCCCAGGGAAACTACACACTTGCTTTCCATGTCTCCCTCTCTGCTATGTCACAGTGTAAAGCCTTTGTGAAAAGCAACTTCCCAATGCAGTTACAGTATAAAATTTAGCAAGTTTGGGTTTTTTGGGTTGTTTTTTTTTTTATGTCAGTCCAGGTGGGAGGTAAAGCAAGTTTAAATATAACTAGTGAAGTGGAATCTACCATATAGAGTTAACTATCCACAGCTTAAGGGAAGACAGCTTCCCTTCCCCAGAACAACCGTTCTCTCTCATCTTTTACGTATAAATACACACAAAAATTATTATTCTCAAACATTCACTCAGAGTACTATCATGTGATTTCTAAAGGCCCTTTTTTCTTTTTATTCTTAATCACAGTTGTAGCTGTTTCTTGTGAACAGTATATATATTGAAAATCCAGTAAAAAATAGTTATTTAAAAGTGAAAGTAAAAATTAGTGTGATGGGTGGATACGCACCTCCAGAAGCCAAAGGCAGACAGCACATTTCTTTACAAGCAAGTAGAGTCACACAGACAGATCACTTAACTCATTTCCTAGAGCAGAGTTCAAAAAATTCAAGAACTCAAAACTGTAGTAAATTTTTTAAAAAGTGGCTTTGCTTAATGCAATACTGAATCAGTGCAGGGATGTGCCATATTTATGGAGTCAGAACTATAATTTTAATGAGTTTTTTTTTAAGTGTTAGTTAAAGCCATATGGTGAGTGAAATTGTAACCCCATTGAAATCAATTAAGGGTTTTGCCACTGACTGCAATGAGGCCAGGATTTCACCCAGTATCTTTAACACACACTTAGAAATAGGAAGATATTTTCAAAATGGTGGTTGGAGAATTGCCCCAATAACTATTCTTAATGGAACTGTGAATACAATTCTTTGCTTACCACAAGGAGGTCTAACTCATGAACAAGTTTTTTGCATTACCTGCATTTGTCTATCTAGTCTCCTGAGAACCACTAACTGAATCATCCCGCGAATGTTCCCTTCCATAGACATGGAACGCCTCAGTGTCTCCATGGCTTCATGGTTGGATTTCGCCAGAAGAGACTCTCCATTCACTGCAATCAGCTGGTCATTTATTCGCAGGCGGCCATCCTAGAAGGCAACCAAAAATATTAAAGTAATACCACGTAGGGGCAACATATATAGGAGAGCAAGATACAGTCATGTGTTTCTTTCTTAGAAGCTACATACAATCCAGTTGTAAATATCACCAAGTCTACATAAAAAGTCTAGATCGCTCAAGCTGGCCAATTCCCAGTATTTGAGAAATATGGTTCACAAGACGTTTACAAAAACAGGCACCTCTTCGTCCACACTGTACTTTGTACGAGTCCTAAAGAGGAGAAAATGGGAATATGGACTCTGGGTTAGAGAACATCCACCACACCTGTCAAGATCTGTTGTCCTACCAAGAATGAACATTGCAGCACATTTTAAAATTCTGTGCTTCTGTTGTCAGAATCTGCTAAGAAACGATACAGCTCCACAAATGACTCTGTCCTACAGTGCTCATCATGCCATAGTGAATATGCCACCATATAAGGAAGTGTTCTCATACAGAAAGGTCACTAAGACGAAAGCATCCATATCATAACGAAAAGCTCTTCATGTATTTTAACAGCTAACCCTGCTGCCAATAACAAAATTGAAGTTGTGCCATTTAGAGCGGTTTGTGGTTTTGAAGAAATCCATTCACTTTCATTGCCAGGGTTTGCTGACAGCTGTAGGCATAATAAACGTATGGACACTTATTTTCTGCCTTTAGTAGGCATATTGTTGTTTTTATTAATATCTGTGAATGATTTTTTCGTTTCTGTACGCAGAGAACACAGAGAAATAAAAACACAGAGAAATTCCTCTGATCAAGAATTGAAGGTTTCTCTTAGGCCTTGTCTACACTGTCACTTTAGAGCGCTGACATTTTCTCGCTCAGGGGGGTGAAAAAACACCAGCGCTGGTAGCCGTGCTCCCAGTGCTGGTGGCCGTGCTCCCCTCGCGGAGGTGGGTTCTTTTACAGCGCTGGGAGAGCTCTCTCCCAGCACTGGTCCCGCGACTACACAGCCACATTAAAGAGCTGCCACAGCAGCGCTTTAACATTGGTAGTGAAGACATACCCATAGAGTTCACAACTATCAAGTTGGTGTCAGAACTCTGAAAGAAGGAAGAGAAAGGGGCTGAGACTGAAGAAATCTAGCATGAATGGGAAGAAGGGCTGAAAGAATAGCAGGAAAGGACTTGGGATCAAAAAACATTAGCTGGCTTTACATGAATTCAGTTCATTCATGAGCTCATGTGTCCCTCATAATGTCCTCGTCAGAACTGTTTATACATCTCATAGCTGTGTAATCCAAAATGTATATACTTTTCTCTTTTTATTTTTCTATCACACTGTTGTTCAATTAACTCTTGTAGCATTGCTGCCAAGTCTAACTAAATGATTTTTGTGTGAGTGACAGTAGCCATGTTAAACCCAGTTTTCTTAAGTATTATTTTTGCTGGAACAGGGAATCAATCCCTGTTATCAGAGCAGGGTACAATTAGAAAGCAGTGACATAGTACTAAAAGGAACAACAGAGGCCAGAAAAGGAAAATAAACAGGGAGGGAAAAGGAGGAAGGAGAGGACTGGAAGATGAGTGAAACAATGAGGGAGGGTGAAAGGACAGAAGAAAATAAGGAGGATTATGACCTTCGTAGAGAGGGGCCAGGAAAGGAGCACAGGAAGCAGTAGTGTCATTTGGGAGGAATATAGTGGAAAACACTCCATTGTTTGTGTTTTATGCCAACATAAATTTACATATAGCCCCACCCTTCCACCACATGCAAAAAATGGTGCCCGAGAATATGTGAAGGTGAAGGGAGAGAAAAAGAGTTAACACTTTGGGACAGGGCCATTTTGTTACTTGCACATCAGTTTTAATTCCTTTGTGCCCTAATAAAATTCACTAAAATGAATGATTCCATTGATTTCAATGGGAGCATGAGGGAAAAAAGCCTTCTATTTGTAAGTCTCTAATGATTTTGATTTTTTTTTAAAAAAAATAGATTCATATTCTTCTCATACAATCCCATAGTCTCTTTCCTGTTCTGTGGATATATCTCTGAATAAACCCTTTTGCTTAAAAATCTGTCGAAGATGCTTGTACAAATACGTACAAGTATACAACAGACATTTTCAAATTTTAGCCTACATACAGGAATATACCAATAAATTATTTTAAATTAATCAGTATAGTCTTAGAAACGCCAGTACTTTCTTGGTTTTGCTTTGAAATCCTTTCATGTGAGATTTAGTATTGCTGTAAATGTTGGCTGTCTTTTATAAACTCAGTTCTTAAAAGCTTTTTTGACCTCTTTAAATGAGGCTTAAATGCAAAGCTCATGACATATCTGATGAACTGAACAAAAGCAAAGTAGTCCTACATGCTTTACAACACAGTTCATTTATAAATACAGAACCATCCCACCAAAAACAAACAGTTGGAAGGCAGATGAATACTGTTTTTGCAGGGGATCAGGAGAAAGTTATTTAGCACAGAGACTTTCTGTGATTTTGAAGAGTGGGGAAAATGTCTGAACCACCCTCAAACTCAGATTTTCACATTACTGGTGTTATGGTCTACTGTTACTACACTGTACCGCAAGATAATCCGCTTGGCTCAAGACAGGCTACGTATCTGTACTTTTCCTTTTATCTCTAAAAGGTTTCTTTCTGCCTTTTGATTAGGAAAACAACTTTTAGAGTATGAACAAATTCGGTATTTTTTCATTCTATCTTTGAACCTGCAAGTGGGCCACAATCATTAAGAATGAAATTATTGTCCCCTGGCATAGTCTGAGTAAATGTGATTTACGTGGGGAATCAAAGTAAAAGGTAAATTTATGGCCACCTCTATTTGTAGGCAGGCCACAGGACACTTAGCATTTTGACTGTAATAGTGGCTATGGCACTGTATTCTCCTACACGGAGTTTGCCCTCTCAAAATCACGCTCTGGCCACTACCTGGGACCCCCTTTGACCTCCTTCCCTCTGAGGAAACTGCTTCCTGGCATTCAGTGCAGCCATTCTGTTCTCTGACCCACCCCATACAATTAACTACTAATATTTACATTACGATTGTACCTAGAGCCTCCAAAGAGACTTGGACTCCATTGTGCTGGGTGTGGTACAAACATATAGGAAGAAACAATCTCTGCCCTGAAAAAGCTTACAGTAGTCATTCTACTGCATTTTAGCTACAGAGGAGGATGTGTGTAGGAGGAGTGGGATTTCATCCCAAGTGCACTGCCAACATGCTACAAGACATGTGAAATTGAAAACAATACAATTAAAGAGTAAGAGGATGCATCTAAACACATTCATCCCAATGGGCACTTTAGCATCTTGTCCTCAGATGAAAAGTGCTATATAACTGCAAATGTCATGAATATTAGTAATACCTCACTTATAGCTATTGAAGCCAAAGAGTACATTCTTTGCAAAAATCACAAAAGGATGTTGATGTGGGTCTTCAAGGAGCAATCATCAAGTATAATAGTGGTTTAATCTTGTACAGTTCTTTAAATTCATTAGTATTCTTATTAGGATTCTTAAAAAATAAATAAATAGTGCAATGGAAAAATGTAAGCTATTAACTGCCGAAGGAGTTAAGTTATCCACTGATCACTAGGTATTCTGCTGGTTTTTGTGGGTAAACTGGATGAGTTGCGATTCTCTAAAATCTACAACATACACTTCAATTTTCTACATAAAAATTAGCCTAAAGATTTCAATTTCCCCCTACATTTTTCACAACTTCTTTACTGGGTTTCTTCACTGCCTGCTAAAACAAGTGAGTTAAATCACTGTGTTAAAATTTCAGAAGTCACTGAAAAATGTTGGCCTGTCTTCAGACCTTCTGTCCAGACTGATAAGAGATAATACTAACTAACCAAAATTGTTTGCATTTTGTACATAACCTAATACATTCTTTTCATTCTGGAAAAGAGACATCGGTGAAAGAAGTCTTTCAAACTCTGACACATTAAAGACATTTGGACAGCATAAAAAGGCACTTTCCGTGAATAAATATCCAATTTGTAGCACTACATCTATTGCAATGCTGAGACAAATTCGTTGGTCTCTTGCTGGTATATGTGATCTGTAAAAGGGTAAGAAATAATCTGATGACTTCAAGCTGATCTGCAAATCTTGTATTCATGCTCTTCTGAAGACAAATTGTGATTTTGTGGGAGGAGGTTGTTTTTCAAAACTGTAACATCTAACAATATAACAAAGACCAGATTCATTTTTCCATTCCAGCCACAAAAGTGAGATACTGTGAGATCATCCTCATGCCTAAAGGGTTATGAACTTCTTGATTTTTCAGTAGTCACGATATCACAAAAGAACCTAGGTTCACTGAAAAGCAATACATGTGCTTAAATCCAAGTGTTTTTGGTTCTAGAATCTAGTACAATAAACTGCAGGGGCAAATGCTCAGAATAAGTGCAAATAAAAGCTTTGAATTTAAAATTCCCAATACACAAGGCTTTTAACATAAATGTTAGAAGTCCTGATTTACACACACACACACTTTAAATTGATGCAAGGAATTTTATAGTTGTTCACAGTTGGGTGACAACTGTGCTGTGCAAGATAGCCAACCACAGGAATACAGAGAATTGGAAACCCAGAAAGAGTAGGCTTTATTTACATAACACAATTCAGATTGGTGTGGTGACTTGGCTGTATTGTACTGAGCTACTTCGAAGACGATCCAGACTTGGGAATGACTGTGGGACTTGCTATCTGTGCCAGTAGAAGGCTGTTTTCATAGTACCTAGAAAGTTCCCACAGTCTTTGCTTTACACAGGAAAGAGGAGCTGTCCCCTTGGTAGTCAGAGAGCTTGGGTTGTATGTCCAGCAGCAGCGTGTGTGTATGTGTCTGAGGAAGTCCCTAGGCTTTATAGGAAAACCTGGCTTCTTTGTTCCTCCAACAGTTATGTTCCTTATATTAACAGCTCTATAAGTTCTGATATCCTTTACATTATCTTACCACGTTTGCTTTGTCAAACTCATCTATCATTCCATTCCAAGCAGGTGTGGACAATGAGCAACCTCTTTTTGGACTGCCCCTTTCCATTGCGGCATGTTATTCCTCCTTGTGAAAGGACATTTTGTATCTGGTCTGTTTTTAAGGGCTGTACTGGCCCTAACGTAGCAACTTGTGAAATGGAACTTTTGTTAACAAGTCATTTGGGTGGTTCATTCCTAGAGCAATGTAAGCAGATTTTTCTCAGTAGTTAATAGTGCACGCATATATAAGTACAGTGAGAGGAAGGATGGTCCAGTGATTGGCCTAGGACTTGGGAAACCTGGATTCCCTACCCTTTGTGATCGTGGCCAAGTTACTGTGTCTCTCAGTGACCCATTTATAAAATGAGGAAAATAGCACCATAGTCAGGCTGCACTATCATAGATTAAAATCTATGAAAAATTTTTAACATACAATTTAGTACCACCTCCATAGATACATTTCTGATATAGCTATCTATCCCAAAGTATTGCACTCGCAACTATACAGATGGAAAAAGAAAGAAACAGTGACCCTAGAAATTATATGTATTCTTTCCCTTATGTTCTTTATAATTTCACCCTCTACAAAGGGAAATGTACTGTGATAAACAACAGCAATGGAAAGAGTTGGGGAGATGGTTGGAGGAATTTGGCAGACATGTTAATTGTTAATATTTGAGTTTAAATCTGTTATGTATGTTTCTAACTATACATGGATTCTCAGTACTACAATAAACAGTTTAAAACCCTCACACAATTCTACAACTGGAGAATAGGGGAAAATGCTCATCCTATTGTTGGTAAAATGGGAGTAGGTCATGTGGGTAAAATTCTGATGCTTAAAACCCCAGCAAAGAATAAAACAACAGTAAAATAAACTTTGTTTCTTGGTTAACCAACTTTCTTGCTGTCACAAAAACAACTCCCTTCCTTTTTTAGAAAGGTAAATAAAGACAACTAAGTATTAAACAGTCATATAAAGGCTAAAGCCTTGATTGATGCCATCTGGCATTTAACACCATCTGTAAATATGTGGTTGTGTAGTTTTTAATGTTGTGAATTGTCTTACTCAGTACGTTAGTGTCAGTAGAGGAAATTACACAGACTGAATTAAAGGTGTTTCTACAGAAAACAGAATTGTTAGGATCTGCTGAGATAACACAAAAGAAAATATTACATTATAGATCCAAAACAGCTAAATGTATTACATGACAAGATGATTAAGACTCTTGTTTTTAATTTCACTAAAGCTATCTCTATTCAAATTTTATTTGGTGAACTTGCTGCCAATAAATTTCGTAAACATTAGCAAGTTATTCAAGTGCTTTTTAATCAAAAAAGTGAACAAGAGTCCTTACTTCTATGAGAGAGATGAACAAGTCATAATGTTGTGATTTATCAGTTTGTGTTCAGCTCAGACATCAGTTCTGTGCAACTGTTGTTAACCTCAACTAAGGCACGCTTTGTCCATAATACTAACAATATTTTGATTGGCAAGTAAAAAGAATATGACAAACTAGGTTTCCATTGACAGTTCAGATTGAATACATTATTCTCCATCTCACAGGCTTGCTGAATTTTTATTCTTGTAAACGCTAAATGACTTTGTAATTTCATTGTCTTTACACTGCTTTATGGGTCCAGCTGTGTCACCCTTGGAACTCCGGACAGACTAAAAGCAGCCCAGAGAGAATGGTACATGCAATAAACTGGGGGCTGAACTGGAAATGGGGGAGGAGCTGGGGCTCGAGGCGGAGATGGCCTGGCAGTGGACAGGGGCAGAGCGGGGCTTGGGGGCAGCGATCCCCACTTCCCATAGGGGCTGGTCTAGGCCTCACCACTCCCCTGCCCCCCCAAAAAAACGTTCCTCCATGCCCCCCTAGTGGGTCATGCACCACAGTTTGGGCATCATTGCCCTAATGGTTCAGTAGTTAAGGCTATTTTGAGTTCTCCACTTAAAGCAAGGTATGAATCCTTTAATTAAAACCGGAACATTCACAGAAATCATTCTCAAAAATGGGCTTTTGCAAGAACTGTAATCTTCTATGGCACTTCACACTTTTAAGTGCCTTTGTGGTACAGTTCAAGGTGGTTTAAAAAACGCTTTTTTCAGGTTTCACCGATTTTTTTTTCCAGGGTCACATAACATCACAAACTCAAGTTACAAATGTACAATTTCACAAGGGTTTCAACTTACATTAAAGCCCAGCATGGAGCTATTTGTGAGGAAAAATAAAAATAAAAATGTGATTTGGCTTTTCTGTTATAACTTTTGTTTTGGTTTGTTTTCTTGCGAGCACTGAATGTTCACAGCCAGCTTTGGTTGCTTCCCAGGTCACGAGGAAGGCCACCTCCCCATCTGACAACGCTATCCAGGTTCTTACACTGCACCACTGCACTGTGGAGTCTCAACACCTTCCAGAGTGGCATTCATCCTGACAGACCTTGCTAGGTATGAGAGTTCAGGGTTTTCTGTCACAAACTCTAGCAAGTCTACAGAAAACTAAGGGGAATGGGTGATTTAGAGGATGACAGATAACAAGGAAGCCTCAGCTTCAGAGGGTACAGAGGCCACCTGTAGGGGTCAGGGACAGACATGGAATGAAAAGAAGGCATAGGAGGCACAGAAACAGAGAAACAACTTTCTCCATGTTAGACATTTTAAGCATGTAAAGTTTAGCACTTTCAGCTTGGAAAAAAGGCTTGCCCTTATTATCGTCCTTCCTTCACATTCCACAAAACTATAAATCCCGCCCCAATACACACACTCCGTACATAAAAATCTACAAGCAGAAGAGTCCCACTGCAGTAACCACCATTGCTATGCTGTACCTCATGGCATCTACCAGAGCTTAGTTTTCCTCCTTCAGTCCTTACACACCAAGCCTACTTAAAACTTTTGTTGTTAAAAAAAACCCCACCACCACACCAAGGAAATTCTCACACCAAAGATGCCATTAACGTACAGTTAAAGTTGCTCAAGTGTATTTCCTATCAGCACAAATTAAAAATCAAGGAAATCACCAGTTTAGGCAAACATTAACATCCAAACCAACCTCAATTCACATCTCTTACCCCCACCAAATATAATCACAGACTCCTCAACTCTAAGACATAGGGTAGACTTTTAAAAAATGCCTATGTGATGAAGGAGGCCTAAGTCCCCTTCACTTAGGCGTTTTTGGAAATTCTACCCAAAGCCTTTTTCACTCCAAAATACTCTAAACCACAAAGCTCACAGTCAATTCTGCAAAAGTTCACTCAAATGCACAGCCTTAACTCTGACATCACTTTAAAAAAAAGGAAAAAAGTATACATTTTTTTCAGTACAAGTATGCATCTTTGTAAGATCTCTTTATAGAATAAAGAAACACTTGAGCAATCTTAACTATGAGGTAAATATTGGTGTGTGAGCTAAATATATATATTTATATATGTTAATGTACATAGGATATTATTATGTGATGTGCTGGAATTAGCACAGTTTAGAAGAGCATTCCAGTAATTTTCTGGAAGTGAGAAGACAAGAACTCTCTCACGAAAAACTCCTAGAAGAGCATGTAAACATCTGAATACTACCAGACAAGAGCTAATACAGTTCTTCCATACCTTAAAAGCTGCACCTCCATGGATAATGGATTTGATGAAAATCCCAAGGTCAGCCCCGGTCTCCCGAGATTTGTTGCCTTTCAAGCTGACACCAAGTCCAGCAGAACCTGAATCATTCAGAGGTATCTCAAAGGTCAGCTGTTCTATGGTCTCCGGTGAAAGAATACTGCAGTTGGGCTCTCCTTTCTGTTGGAGAAATTGAAATATGAAAACAGTGGAGGAAAAAAAGAGAATATTACACACACAGTACATTCTAGGTTTCCCAGATCTAATTCTTTGGACAGGTTCATGTAACTAAAAATAGTTTTGACCATATCTTTCCTTTATCTAGTCAACAGCTTTTAGGCTATTGCCTATGATTTGGTCACATGATTCTGTGACCGAATATATATTATTAAAATATTTATAAATATGATTACATGGAATATGGAAACACTTTAGCACAAGGTACTACAAGTCTGATACTACAGGACATTTAAGGTGAAGGACTCTGCATTTCAAACTTATACAAACAGCTACATTAAAAACGTACTCTCATAATTCATACTGCCTTTACATGTACGCTCACTGATTTTAATAGAGTTGTGTGGTTCAATTCCATACCATTCTAAGCTAAATCCTTAAAAAATTATTGCACCCTTAGTGGATGAATTGGTGCATGCTTTGGATCTCTTTTAAAGTTTGGAGCAGCAGTGTAAGAAACAAAATTAATAGAAAAATGGTATATGCAGAAAAATACCATTTTAAAAAGCAGAACGTGAAGTTAGCATTTCTCAAAGGTGCTGGACTGAAGTCCTCTGTTAATCCACAGAATGGGCACCACACAGGAAGTGGCAGTGGAAACTTCTCAACACTGTCCTGCCAACATTCCTCAAACCTAACTTGGAGGTATAGTGGAACCTCAGAGTTACAAACACCAAAATTAGGAGCTGACCAATCAACCATTTGGAACCAGAAGTACACTATCGGGTAGCAGCAGAGACCAAAAAAACAAATACAGCACAGTACTAAAAAAATAAAGGGAAAGTTTAAAAAATATATTTGGCAAAGTAAGGAAACTGTTTCCATGCTTGTTTCATTTAAATTAAGATGGCATCAAAGCAGCATTTTTCTTCTGCACAGTACAGTTTCAAAGTTGTATTAAGTCAATGTTCAACTGTAAACTTTTGAATGAACAACCATAATGTTTTGTTCAGAGTTACGAACCATTCCCGAGGGGTTTGTAACTCTGAGGTTCTCCTGTACCACCTCCATGGGTACAAGGAAGTTCACGCCCCACATCCTTGCCGTCTCTGCTGAGATTGTCCACACAGCATCAATGTGTGCCAGTTGTGGGGCTGGCTTCTGGATAATCATAATGGTTCCTTAATGACCTTAAAGTTTATTATTCTGTCCAATTGGCAGTGGACTGAGACCACTATACAATACATTTAACACCCTACATGGGCAGCAAGAGGTGTGATCAAAACCAATAAGGGTAAAAACTAAATGTAAGTGAATGTCAATCATTGAAATAGTGTCAATTGAATACATGATTCACTTACATTTATCTAAGACGCCACTATTGCTGATGGAAAGTAACTACTGTCTGAGGGAGGGGTCACACTATTCAGTGAGCTAGAAGTATAAACCTTGATTCTAATATGTACCAAATACAAATATTTATTAAAAATTAATTGCATGGAAGTCAATTCATTTCATTTAATTGGAAAATACAAAAATGGCACGGTGTTGACACTGATAATTACTGTCTTGATGTCATTAGCTTATCTCCACTACTTTTGCTCCATTTCTGTGCACTTGCTTTTTTTCACCTGAAGTACACAACTTTCTGTGACATTTTTTCCTTACATAAGTAATTAACAAAATTATAACATGGAGGCAACAGTCCTGTAAAAGTTCCCAAAGCCAATGAATTAAAATAAATAAGGGAAACTGAGCTAGAGTGGTTAGAGAATACGGTTGGATGTCTGATTTGTATTGTCGCCTGTGACAATGACTCATCATAGGAGTTCGGTCAAGTCACTTAATCACATGGCCCACGAGCAGCACCACAGCTTCCCCTCTAGCTGAAGTTCATTAGACTCGATCTTACTGATTAATGATTTGTAGTTATGAAATATATTACCACAATGGGGCTGCTAGGAATCTACTGCTAAGGTATGTATCCCACAACGTGGCTCAAAAGAGGAAATCCTTCATCTAAGATGTATCTTACCTAGCCATAAGAAATCTTAGATATGGAATGAACTGCAGCCCAAATCTGACAATCGCAGGATCAGTGTGAGGGAGGATGAGTTTTAGCATAAATTCTCAGATATTATGGAGATAGGGGCACTAAATAAATAAATGAGGGAGGGGGAGGGGGAGAAGACAGAGATTACCAGATCTTCTATTGATAGCATTTGAAATGGGGGTGGGAAGGAGGGAAGGGAGGAGTGGCAATAAATTTTGGACCCAAAGTAAAATACCAACCAAAAAATATGACTTCTCACTGAAATATATACCCCAACCACAGCAAACTTCTTAACTATCTCCTAATGCAATGATAGCACCCCAAACGCCTTATATAAATGGGCTCACCTACATTTCTGCCTGCTACTTGCTTGCTGCACCAAATAGGAGCTTTATTTTCAACTAACAGCATAGGAAATGGACAGGTAATATCCATACCACCTCATATAATCACATCATTTCACATCATGAATATTGGGTGCACTTGCTGACATCATTCACTTATATATTCTCTGGGATTTTCTGACAGTATCCTTTTGGATCACAAAATAAATGGTTGCTGAAATACCACAAAACATAAAACAACTCCCTATAATCATACCAAGCCAGTACAACTGAAACCTTTTTGCCCCCTCAGCACAGTGCAAGAAAGTCTGGCTGTAAGACAGATCTTTATAGAGAAGAAGTTGGAAAATTGCTCATGTCCTCAAATGATGACAGGAGAGACAGCATGGATAAAACAGACTGTTCATTCCTGAACTGCTCTGTCAAGTGTTTTTTCTTTTTTTGCCATGTCCCTACAAATGATAGAATATTTTATAACAGAAGCTACAAAATGATGTTAATTCTAGTGGACAACAATAACTAGACAATTATTGTACATTTATATACTATAAATAATAACTACAAACACGTGCTTTATATCATTGTTTCTAAATATAAGTGAGTTCAGTTTTACACTAGATTCCCAAACAAGTAGACTGCTAAAAACATGCGAAAAGCTAACCAAACTCTTCAAGTTTTGTGTAACATTTTTACTTTTATTTAATAAACGTATTCTTTGCATTAGTGCTTTTCACCAATCCATTGGGTTATCATCTGAGTGCCTAGACATGCTATCTGTATCAAATGAGATCTTAAAAATATGTTCAGTGAGATATAAATACTAATTTTTTTCAGTATTAGGTTTCTTTCAGCTCTCCTTCAATACCCAGTTTGGAATCCTTATAGTTTCACAACCCTTTCACTGCAGCACTCTAAGAATCGAGTAATTTTATTATAAGAAAACCTCAGTAAATTAAAGTTCAATGAAAACAACAGCTGCTTGTACCTATTACTCAAGGAACTCTCCAGACAATCCCCCCTAATACCTTTCACAACTGCTCCGTAGAACTAAATTGGTTGAAAAACTGCCCCTTCTTGGGTGCATATTTACATTCAGCTTTACCCTAAGATCCAGCCAATGAATGTTGACAATCTGGCCCTTTTGGCTGATAGCTAAAAGGAAGTGTTAAATATGGTATCAGAGTGGGCATCTGTGTTTGAAGGTAGATGCAAAGCCAACTGAAGTTATGCAAGTAATGAAGGTGGACAAAGAGCTGTTGATAGGAGTTTCAGGAGAGAAGCTGAATCAGAAGAAAGAATTTTGTATTGGGAAATACACTTACTGCCATCGGAGAGAAATCTGGAGAATTGAAAAGAAGAACCCAGCATGCATGGGCAGCAGTGAAAAAGGTGGCAGGAGTACTGTGGGACCAGCAATTAAGTAACAAATTGAAAGGAAAAATGTACAATGCATGTGTTTGTCCCTGCCTGCTCTACGGTTTGGAAAGGGTGGATCTGATAGAAAGGGAAGAAAAAAAAATAACATACAGGTAGTGGAAAACAACATACTGAGGAGAATGGAAGACAAGCAGAGGTTAGAGGGCACATGGAAGAAATCAGTGGGGAGATTAACTTGGAACTCTTCGGGTATGTCTACACTGCAAATAAAAAACCCACAGCTGGCCCATGGCAGCTGACTTGTGCTACGGGGCTGTTTAATTGCGGTGTAGATGTTTGGGCTTGGGCTTGGGCTGGAGAGTGAGCTCTGGGACCTCACGAAGGGGGAAGGTCTAGAGCCCAAGTCCAAATGTCTACACCACAATCAAACAGCTCCTTAGCCCAAGCCCCACGAGTCCGAGTCAGTTGACACAGGCCAGCCAGCCAGCCAGGGTATGTCTAATTGCAGTGTAGACATACCCTTAGTGATGGAAAGCCTGGGGAGCACATGTTTGAGGTGCGCGGCACATGTGATAATGACCAGGAAAGAAAGCATGAGAGGAAGAAGACAGCAAAAAAGGACATGGAAGTCCAAGGATACGGTGGAAAGACTCTGTTAAGAGAAGTTTGAAGAGAAAAGGAATTGAACTCCAAGACCTACGAACCCATGCCATGGACTGGAAGGAGTGGCAAAGAATTTTGGGTACCTCTGATCCACTGTAAATTGGAAAAGAAGTCAAAAAATGAAGTGATGTTTACACTAAGATCCAGCTAAATGTGACTTAAAACCAAACTAAGTCTGGTTTGTTTTAACTGTAATGTCACACACTAGCTAGCCATGAAGTGAAACCCCACTGACCAGAACTCTTTACAGGATAGGTGAAAGGAAAGCTGCTTCAGATGTAAAAGTAAATTCCACAGCTCAGCATGAAACTACGGTAGCCCTGTCCTTATCTCTTAACTTAAGACATATCATTCCTTACCTAGTCCATGGAATCTAACCACAAATGCTTGGATGCTCAACATAGCAAGTAGCAATTAATTCATCACAGACAACTACAGCAATGAAAAACCTACTGAAAATTTCTGTTGGCAGAGGAAGAAATACAAATACATTTCCTAAAAGTTTGGTTTCCTTCAATATACCAAAAAGAAAAGGAGTACTAGTGGCACCTTAGAGACTAACCGAT